AGTTGAAAAATTGAAATTTCAAATATATGAAAACTGATAATTAAATAAAATGTATTGGAATATTGTATTTAAATGTGCTGATTGAAATGTTGTGTTTAAATCATTGTCACCTCTTTTGTTTTGACCTTTTCAACTTGTTTCTGGTATAAATTAATATTTTGAAATAAAAAGCTATTCTGAATCTGAACATTTTTCATTTTAAAATACAGAAACTAGACGTCCAGGAATCTAGGACTGAGTCAGCAAATCCAGTTTCCTGTGTGTGCTGCCTGCCACTAACCCAAAGGTTATTCAAAATCACTATTTCAAATATTTGAAGACAACTATAAGTATACAAAACCATAAACATCAAGAATCTGCCACAGATGAAAGAATGGGAGATGAGAGCTCTGTCAATGACCTGTCACTGAATTGGGATGGAAGTAGTTTGTTAATTTATGTTCAAGGGATCTAGAAATAAAATCAAGCTTTGCACTACAGAGGAAGGCAACACCCCACCCCAAGTTCTTACCAATCTGGCCTCTGGGAAAAATTCCTCCCTGACCCCACATTTGATAATCAGCTTGTCTTTAAGTGAAACAGTAAGTCCTTCTCTCCACGGACTACTGAGTTTTTAAGGGTGAAATTACATGTTGGACTTAGAACATGCTAAAGTTATGGAATGTTAAGCAGTATTAAAGTTAGAATGTACTGTGAACAGTTGCATGTTAAGGGTTAATACCATTTGTTTCCTATACAACTCTGACTTGCCACTCAAGTTGTGGCTGGAGAGTAGGGGCATGACTAAGACCCCAGGCATCTGTGCTCATCTCTTCTTGGGGAGTGGGGACAAGTGTTATTCCATTTTCTGTTTATTTCCACGTCTTTGATTATTTTTTCTGGCTAAGACTTCTTGAAATATGGAAGTTAGAGTAACAGACTTGTAATTGCCTGGGTCAGTCTTTCTCCCATTTCTTAATACAGGTAGTATATTTGTTATTCTTTTGCCACAGGGTATCATCTCCAAATTGACAGATTAATTTGAAGATTTCTGCCTTTTATATACCAATTCTTTCAATATTCTGTGATGGAGATTATCCACACTTCCCAATATTGTAAATTTTACATGCTTATGAAGGCTGTTACCAAGTATTTTTCAGCTCTTGGGTCATACCTAGGTTGTTTTGATCTATGTCTTTTCTTCAGCACATAGCAGCCCTGTTTCTTCCGTCCTGATTCTCTTTGTATTTATATAACCAAAAAAGGTCTTGCTATTTTTTCAAATACTATTACCAAGGGCTAACTCAGTTATACCTTTGGCAAATCTTCATGCTATTCCTGCATTCTTCATGCATAGGAATATATCCCTCGTTTTTGATCATTCCCTTTTCACATTCCTTATACATACTCTGCTTATCCTTTATAGATGTGAATGCTTATTTTTCAGGTCTATCAAACTACCAGTTGGGACTACCTCTTGCTTGGGATGCAAGCTTCTGAAAGTATTTGCACTTTGACTTAAATAATTCAATTTTGCTTTTATCCAGGTGACCTCTGTAAGGCACAGACAGAAGTAATATTTTTCATGCAATCTAGGCCCTGAAAACACTCTACAGGCAAGCGACAGAGCACTATAAAGGGGCCCTATCCTGCAAAAATCTGAACCCTCATTGCAAGAGGGTTCAGATGAAAACACTCCAAAATGGAGCAGCTTCAATATTTTCTCTTTGCACTGCCTGTCATCCCTGGCACTGTTTTCAGAATAGGAAGGGGGACAGGGAGCAGAGGGAGTTTGGTTTGGGATTTTTTCAGCTGGCACTGGGGGAGGGGAGGGGCTGTCACTAGCCACACCCCTCCCTGAGGTAGGGGTCTCCAATCTACCCACACCACCCTCCAGTGCTGGCTGGGGAACCCCTAGAACAAGATCCCTTCCCTCCCTTTCCCCCCTCCCATTTTGAAAATAGCACTGGAGCTGGGAAGGACAAGGGACAAAGCTACGGTAATCTGGCTATACGCTTGCAGCCAGAAGCTGAATTCCCCAACCCATGGGACCTAACAGCAAACTTCTGCTGGGTCTGGGGGGATCATTGTAACTCATGGCGCTTCCTGTGACATGCAATGATTTATAATGGGGAGCTGCAGTTCTGTCTGCGCCTTTAATAAATTGCTTTATTTTCTCAGAGTTAGCCCTTCTAAAATCTAAGATTATTTTAAGAGATCTATTTTGCTTGTACATCCTGAAGTTTTAAATTAAATTCAATCAACTCATGATTATTTAGTTTATTTTTCAGAATCAGTTCTTGTATATGAGCCTAACTTGTACCAAACCTAAATATACGATAGCTGTACCTGTTGGTGATATAGGAATTTTTGATGGAGAAATCTATCAGCTGACATCCTAAAACATCTGTGGCCTGCCATTATTAGTAAGATTTGTATTTCGGTCTATATCAGAGAAACTGAGGGCTCTCATAATTATATAATTTCTGCTAAGATTATATTCTAAACCTGGAGGCCTAAAACAAATGCCAACACAATCTCTTAAATTTATTTTTTTTAATTATTATTATTCCTTCATAATGTGATTTTAACCTAAACATACTGTTGCATCTATGCCATCTTATTTTATGTCATTTCTGTCTACCCCTTCATTAATATACAGATGTACTTTTACTTTTTTTCTGTCTGTCTTGAACAGTGTGTACCCTTCAAACTCTGTACTCCTGACAGACATTTTTTGAATTGTGATATCCAACATAATAAACCTTCCATTATGATGAATTTTGAGTGCAATGAGTTGACATTTTCTGATAAAATAAAACAAAACTAAAAGGCTTTTGTTGGAAAATGCTCTACCTCCTGTAATCTGACATCCTGCTTGGCAGAGGTCAAAAGTTGGGCCAATTTAACTCTGGAATTCAAACAGCTGCAGAACAAAAGAGAGCAGAGGTGGGAAAAGTAGTTTTTCCTAAAACTGAAAGAATGCAATTAATTTTTTTTTGCATTTCTGAAATTTTGATCAGTTTAACTAAACTAGTTTGAGCTTACCTTTCATTTTTTTCCAAAGTTTTGCACTCACTTTGGAAGCCAAAAATAATGTTCACCCTGGACAAATTACAGAACATTCCAACTATGTAGAAAGAGAGCAGACCTCCTGTACTTGTAAACATATTGGGTGCAGTTTATGGTTACACTGTTACTAATGATCTATTAATGGCCAGAGGGAGACCAGCAGTTCAAGTGAGGGAGTGATAGGGGCTCCCTTTTAGAATGGGATTTCTGCTAGGTCTGCCAGAGTCCATCTTTATTAACTTATAAAGCACCCTTCAAAGCCCACTATTTTCCTCAAGCCTGGGTCTTTCCCCTCTTGTGCTTCACATTTTTTCACTTTATGAAGTGGATAGTGATACCAACTTCCTTTGTGTAGTGCTTTGAGATCTGCTGACAAAAATGCTATACATAAGAACTACATGTTCTTATAGAGCTTAAAACACAGGCACTTAATTCAAACCAGGAGTAGATTCAGGATTTTACAAATGGGGGTATAGGAGCAGAGACTAGCTCTGCAGGGGTGGCTGCATTGCCTATTCCTACCCTTCTTCCCTCTATCCCTTTCAAGGCAGGCAGACTGTACCATGGGAGCTGCAGTCAGGGACTTTTTAAAAACCTCAAAGAAACAAAGACCTCCCAAGGTGCTTCAGCTTAACTATACAGGAGGTGAGCATGCCATGAGACAGTGGCAGCAGGCAGGCAGCGCTCCCATCTCCATTTCTGCTCCACTGTGCCTCCTCTAGATCCACTGCTGATTAAAACTATTTTATGACTGTTTAAAAATAGTCCTCCCTAAAAAAGTTTAAATTCTCATTAAATGAAAAGGTGTATCATCTGCATAAAAAAGTATATTTCTGGTTTGATCAAGGCCTTCAAGTGTAATATACTATCATAGAACAAAAACTCTTTGGGGATAGTACTTTTCATATCTGCAAAGCATCTCATAATACTGGCTGGTATAATACTGAAAGTGACATAAAATTAATCATTTTGGCCATTTCCAATTAGGACTAAGACAAGTTGCCTTGCTTTGACTTGGACATAGGCAAGACAACATTCTTGCACTTATGCTTCTCATTTCTGAGCTTAATTGGCACTTCATGAGTTAATCTGGTCTGTTTATTTACATGTATTGATAAAGAGGAGGCCTCCTTTTTCAGTCTTGCTTCTAAATATCTTTGAGTTGCTGCTTGTGCCTTCTGAAATTGCTCATCCTTTAATTAGCTTTGGATTCAAATAATAGTATTTTTTTGCTCCTTCACCTAGAATAAAAAAAACGGAAAGCCAGTGGAAATGCTTATCCATCTACTTTGTATTACCACAATATCTCCTACTTGTAGGGACAGGGTAGGATCTTCAAAGGTTTTTTTTTTTTTTTTTTAACTTCACAGGTGTTTCAGAGAAGGCTGCTGCTGAAATCATACATATAAGAACAGCTACAGAGAAGTGAGCACATCCAGTGGGCACTTATGACTCTTACTCCTATTAACAGTAGCAATAAGGATGACTTTCAGGGGTTCCTGGAGGAAAAATAAAACAAAAATCAACAAAGCATACCTTCATGAATCAGCAAAATCACTGTGGATTTTACAAAATTGCTATTAAAAGCTAACTTTTAGTTTTATATTGCTACAAAATGTGCACAATTATAGTCAAAATTAGGAGTTTCTTACACCTGTGGGACCTAATAAGATGAGGTGATGGATGTAATGCCCATTTTAAATGCCTTCAGGAAGGGGTACTTTACAACACAAAGTGTGGGGGAGGGCTTGTCCTTGGGTGGCTAGCCCTTCAAGGGTGTTTTGCTGAGAGCCACTTGTTACTAATCAGCTGTCTTCTAATTGATGCTCTGAGGCCAAGGATGAAGAGACAGCCAGAACATCACCTGGTTCTTATAAGCTCACAAGGATCTCAGTTGTTAGTGAAAACTGGAGGTGAAGGCCTCTGTGTCAATAGGAAGAACTCAATTTATATCTGATTTTTGGAGAGGGAGCATAAGTAATCTAGCACTTTAGGGAGTTAACTAGAGAGAAAGTAGAAAAGAAGCTTTTCTCCTTTTCCAGGTAGATGGTTTAAGAGTACAATCATGGAGTGATTAAATAAACCCTGGGTCTGAAGAAAAGATATGGTTGATAGCCAAAAGAAATAAAACCGGCTCCTTGAAGAAAAGGAACTGGAAACCTGTGGTGGGAGAATGTTCTTTGATGCATGGATTAGCGAGTTAAACTTCATGGCTTCTGCTCATCTAGTAACTAGGTGATGTGTGTGGAATCTGGTGGATTCAACTCCCTGAGTCCTGCTATTTAATCTTGAGAATGACAAACCAGCAGCTGTGAGTTTGTATAACATATCTTAATAGTCTTTTTTTCAGAAGAATTGTTTTCATCTGCAAATGAAAAGAACAGACTTTGTTTTACCTTCCCTGGGGCCTTGTTACACATTAATTTTAGGTGACTCCTGGAGCTCTTAACCCCTGGATTATCCAGACATGAACCCCTGAAACTAGTTTTAAGCGCTCTTTAGGTAGCTTAATGTTTTGTCACTCCAGCCTAGGGTCATTTCTGACCCATGTTACCCAGCTTGTGGTACACTAATGTATAGCCAGTGTTACCCCACCCCCAACTTGTGACTGCCTGCATTGTCTGTCATGAGGGCAGAGGTAGGGAAGGGTTAACCTGCATGCCTAGCTGCTGCTTCAACTGCTCTCTGGGCTGGGCTCAGCCCGGAGAAGAGCAGCAACCTGTCTGCTACACTGCTACAGTGGTGGTGGTGGTGGTTGGACAGGCAGGTTAACATTTCCCTGCCTGTTGCCCTGGGACAGACAGGGCAGGAAACTACAAGTAAGTGGGAGGAAGCTTCTGGGGTGGGGGGAACCCTGAGGGGCAGGCAGGGAAGCCCCAGGGGGTGGGGATGGGGAAACAGGTGTGCCCTGGGAGAGAGGGGAAACCCCAGAATAGGAGAGGGGGATTCTCACCTTCAGACCCTGCTGGCCTGAGCATGTAACTGCTCCAAACCCAAGGTTAGCACTACCACCTGTGAACATTTGAGCAGCTCACAGTATATAATATGAAGAAGGCCTTTAGACTGTTGAACATAACTTGACTGATTCAAGTAACTTGGTGGGATCCTATGGAAATTCAATGTACTTGTTATGATATAATATTAAACATAAGGGCACTATATATCTCTATTCATTTAGAGAAGGCTGGAGAGGCGAGGGAAATAAGGCATGCATTCTTTTCCTAGCACAAGTAAATACAGATTAGGATACTTGAGTAACCCTGTGTTTGTTGTTCCTCATTTTTGCACGCAAAAGAAACATATCTCTTCTCATTCCTTTGTCTCTAAAATAAGATCTGATCCATAACCCACTGAAGTTGATGGAAAAATCTGGCCCGTACCTGTTCTAGCTCTCCCCCTTCCCCTGGAAATGTCCATGTTCTCCTCTTCAGTGTACACTGTATCTCTTTATATATTTTCTAGGTAAAGCAGTTTAGTGATTGCTGATATTATCTCTGTTAGTATCTGCAAATGTTTGAGTAGCTAATAATTATTTTTTAACACTTAAATCACAATATATCAACTTGTCAAAACTAAAAGTTTTAGGGAAATGAATAACACTTGATTAAATGTGTCGCACATCGAGGCTGGATAGTTTTTGTTGTCAAAATGGAAGATTCATCAGAGCCTTAAATAGCTGATTAGTGACTCAGAGATTCAGACCAGAGATTTGAATTTGGGTTTCCCATGTTCTCCGAGTTGGGCCCCAAATACAAAGAAGGTGCCCTAACTACCAGTCTACTACCTATTCTGGAGTGGGTCTCTCTTGAACTCTTCTGCTAGAGCTGTCCCATTTTGTATAAATAATTATGTGAAGGAAAGAAATTCTGAAACCCAGTGATTAGGGTACTTACCCTAGTTACTCGGGTACTAACCTGAGTACAGGTCCAGGCTCTAATAAATAATTAGGTAGGAAACCTGTTGTAGACTCGCATAACTTTAAAATTCCATATAAGTTTCACAAGTTCTCCTAGGTGTAAATTCTCCTAGAGTAATGCAAATTGTAATAGAAGGGATTACACAAAGCTAAGGCAAATAGGTATTGATATTTTATTTATTTTTAGAAAAAAAAATGATGGTCCAGCCACAAGACTGCTTTGGTCTTCTAAGGAGCATTTCTGGAAAGAAATTGTAAAGGTTAGTCACCTTTCATTTTATCCTTGGTACCATGAAATAACTAGGAAAAAAGAAACTGGGAATTTTATGAAGAGATAATTAAAGAAAAATGCATGACAAAATAAGTGAAGATGTGGTATGGAGGGCCTTGTGCATGATTTTGGTAGTTGGCAAATTGAACCCCCTAGGGTAATGTTATTTCCACATTCAAAGGTGCTATATAATTAAGAAGGTATTCTCTCACAAATGTATTGGTATATGTTTGGCTATGTAGTGATGAATCCTAAAACTAAAACACTGAGCTGATTTGGTGGTGGCAAAATTTATTCATAATAAACAGAATCAAATGATGCATTGCTAGAGTCAGACTATAGCTAGAGTAAGAAAGGTCAGATTTTTAGCTAAAAATGTAAGAGGTAATAACATAGAAATTTATTAAAAGATGCTTTCCAAATACACTAGCATGTTAAGAGCCAACAAAGATGTGTTCTCCTGACACCTTGTTAAACAGCTGTGAGACATTTGGAACTGTAATGAATGTATTGTATGTAACTTATTGATGATGACGTGTTGTGGGTCACTTTTTGAAAAGACTGTTCTCCTGTGTGGTATGCAATTTCAGTTCCTTGAAAAAGTTAAAAATATACATTTATATTATAAAATACACTTCAATAAATAAAGTGTATTCAAAGCATTATCAGAATAAGAAAATGCTCTAGTGGGCCTGCTTGAGTAATCAATGGTGGCTTCTTTCCAGCCTCATTGTTATGATCTGAAAGCCAAAATGTAAAGCTAGAGAGGGAGCAGGGATTTCAGTCGCACATCAACATCTTGCTTACTATGTCGCTGGAAATTAACATGTAAGTGGAACACTGGGATAGAAATGTAGCTGCTCCATTTATTTATTTATTTATTTATTTATTTTTAAGAAGAAAAAAAGAAAATTATTTTCTGGGTTTCTGCCTCCCTTTTTGCCAAACCTCACTTTCCAAAACAAGAATCCTTACCACAGCTTGCATAAACTTTATTTGCTACATAATGACAGATCTCCATGGATCGATATCACTTCTAAACCCATTGAAAAAGGAAGGCTTTATTTTTTATTTATAACCTTACCACTTCCCACTTTCTGGCAATATAAGGAAGCTTGAGTATGTGTAAATATAATCTATTTCTATGTTAAAGTCTCCTATTGGAGTGGAATGTGTGAGAATTAAGCCTTGGATTTTTACAAAATATTAAAATGAAAGGAACACCTATATTCATACAATATGGTATTACTGGTCTAGTGTTCACACTTCCCCACAGCTTGCTTTTGAAGGTTTGAATTTCAACTTTGAAATATTTTAGAGAGAGAATTTTACAGTTCCTTACATGGCACTGTTTCTGTTTCCAAAGGTGATAAAGTGATGTACCTAATAGAGATGCACATATATTATGCCTGAGTATCTTATTTTATTCACTTATACTTAGTGTTATTTGAACCCTTAAGATAATCTTAAAACTACTACTGGTGAATGAGAACACAATGATGGAGAGAGAAAAGGTATTTTAAAAAATACCTGCAAGGAGAAACAAAGGTATGAGCATTTGCTTTGAACCTTGGAGTCTCGCACACCAGACTGCCAGTCTATCACAGATGCACGACACATGGATATTGGGGAAAAATGTGATTATGAGGAGTGTGATGACAGTTCTGAGTCTGAAATGCATTCATCCCATGATGCGTTTGTGCATCTGTTACATATTTACAATATGCCTGGGATTTATTTTTAAGATCTTGCACCATGAAAGAATGGGAAAGAACCTAGTGGTAAGGGGAAATGGAGATAACAGTCTGAATAACCACATCCTTGGCCCTGTTAGTCATTCAGTACTATTGAAATGGTGCTAACCTTGAAAGCTACCTAGTGGGGTAGCTGAGGAGTTCTCTGACCTCTCTGCATGTATTTCATAGTGCAGAGGGCATTGTCTTCACCCTCAACTTCAGTGTAATTTTCAGCTATTGTGATAAGTTACTGGAGAGCACATTTAAGTATGTTTGGAGTAAGTACACTTATTGAAAACAGCTATTTGGAAAGCCCTGTAAATGTGCATTTTCGGATTCAGTATATCAGAAAGGTGAAAGAGCTTCCACTCTTGACATAAATTATCACTGGAGTTTGCCTGATAATGGTGGTGGGGGGAAGGATACTTTTGGAAAAGCACTTTATATTCCCCATGAAAAGTTTTGCCTTGGTAGAAATATTTTTAGCAGCTCCATCCATACAGTTGCCTGATGTGGTGCATAAACTGATTTTGGCAATGCCCATGACATGGTAGACACTATAGTAATCATGAAGCAGGCTCCGTTTCTGGTAATATATCTGTATAACAGTTCTAGTTACTGAGGCTGAGTTCTAAGACTTAGAGGCCTAAGACATCCTTTTGCATGAAGGCAACTGGCTCTCTTTTTATGATGTGCAGTGTAGGGCATTGTCACCTGGAATTTATATAAAAGTGTTTAGAGCACTAGGAATGTAATATTTCTGGAGGGCCAGAGGGAAAAAAACTAAATGGAGCAAAACTGTAGTCCAGTTTAGAAAGCAGTCCTTTCGGGGAGGGAGGGTGGTGCTAGGGGGGTGGTCCTAGGTTCTGCTTCCTGAACCTCAGGTCATTTATCCATTTTATTCAGTGATGTATCCTGTCCAGAGGGTAGCTGTTTACAACCATTCTCCAAGAGAATTTTATCAAATGACTGTTTAATATAGCAAACAGTTCTTGGAGCTGGGACTGAAACCCAGGACTCTCCCTTCCCAAGAGCATGCTCTAACCACCAGGCCACAGTGACATAGCTTCTCTTGGGTTTTCCTTAGTTTCATGAATCTTCAGTTGTTTTCTGCACAATGGCCCAGCTTCAACAGACAGTGAAGTGCTTCCACCATGGAATAAGCTGTGGCCTAGTTGTAAGAGCATTCTTTTGGCAGGTAAGGAGGTGGATTTGAAACCCTTCAGGCTGAGGAAGGTAGCATAGAAAAGACTGACACCACCATGGCCATGTTCTTAGAAGTAAGGGGTAGTGAACGCTGATCTCAGTGATGTCAATCAGTGTTAGGAGCGCTCAAGCCATGTCTGGTGGATTGAGAGCCTCACAAGACCTGAGTGCAGGAAAACCTATTTTGAGGATCTCTAGACATGCTCGGGAGTTGAACCTTGGGTGTATAAGTGTGTCTTTTTCTGACAAAAATGTAGGTACTTAAGGAATGCAGATGCCTAAGATGGTACATATTTTAGATGCTCATGTTTCTTCATGAATCTCCCTGTAAGTGCCTTACCTTCTGTGTGTGCGCACAGCATTATAGGTGGATGCTGAACTACAGAGGAAAAAGGAGGATGAGGGTACAAATGGAAAAAAAGTTGCTGTAAAGAAAGACCCATGTGTTTTAAACAGAATAATTCTTGGACCCAATTCATTGTTCATATGTGAACATCCAGACTTTTCAAATAGTCATTTCATTCAAAGTATCAATGGAGTAATAACCAACTAATGGAGCAAGTTAAAAAAATACAGGAAACTTTTTTTTCCCACCTGGGGTTTAATCAGATGGGATGGCTCCTTTCATTCAACGTGCTTTAGATCAAATTTTCAGTTGCCTGACAAGGCTGAGCCCTCTGATGCCTGACATCTTCGACAATGTTGGCCAAGTTCTATCCTGAGTTCTATGCAAAGGCAGCTTAAGAGAGTTGTTGCCACATACACTGGAACAGAGCTTAAACCATCTGTTTCTCAGATGCTTTATTTTTTTCCTTTTGTGCTACAAAATGTGAACTTCATCTGTTTTAATAAAACTTTGTTTTATTAAGTTCTAAAATTTTTGGATGACTTTTAGATGGTGTTGGTTTAATGAACAATTGTTGGTTTCCAGACTTAGCAGCTCATCTTCCATCCATGTGTATCCCTTATTGAAATAAAAGATTGTCTATTTAGGATTCTAACAAATAAATGTATGTATTGAATGAAAATAGGTATGTTGTATGATGTGGCTTATTTAGGGTATTATCCTCTTAAGCTTTTGGGAAGGAGTCCAGAAGATGGTGATATCTTTTCTACTCTCTCTCTCTCTCTATCTATTGCCCTAGTTCGATAGCTTGGGGTACAAAAAGTGTTACCACTGGCAAGTACCTTCCTCACATGCAGATTAGTAAAGAGTAACATGTCTTTCTGTTCTGTCAGATTTCAGGCAGAGTAGAAAAAGAAGTCTAGCCATCAAGGGCATTTACAGCTGGAGTTGATGATCTGAACTCTGGGAGAAAATACTTTTCCTGAGATAATTTTCATAAAAAATGCCTGAGCTGCTTCAGAGCTGGGACCAAACAAATTGTTCCCTGGACTTTTACTGTTTAAAATAAAAATTGGGGCACTTCTGTTTTGGGATCTCTTTTTATTTTTTTTCTTCCCTTCCTTTTTCAGCAACCCATTATTGTTCAAAGTCTATGCTCTCTCTTGCACTAATTTTTCCCCTATCATATGAAATCTTTAAACAGAGGGTTTTACTCAAGGAAGAGAGAGACAGAAAATAATTATAGAATTTTTCTTTCACAAAATATCCATCTCCCTCATTAGGGTGATTAAAATCATTTTAATGTACTGCCAACTGGAGGATCGTTGATTTTCCTCAAAGAACTATTATAAATGCTTAATGTCCTTTGTTTATATTATTCCCACTGTATAAGGCCTCACTTACAAGAGCTCTGCTTCTGGGCCTGTATTGTTATGCTCTAAACCTTTAGAGGGATATCAGGTCTTTCATCTTTTTCCAGTGTTTGTTCTAGAAAGGGCTTAGAAATGACTGAGTAGGGTAACACTCATTGCTAAAGTGACAAGGATATCAGAACCCAAGCCCCTCTCCACACCCTCGCATCTTTTGCCTTTTTAATTCAGGTTGCTGTTAAGTTTTCCTTCTGCCCTTCCCCCCCCCCGTAGTTTATCAGTGAAGGCGGGGGTGGGGGGGCGGTGTTAATCTTCTGAAATGATTTTTTTT